TCAATAATGAAATTCATCCTCAAAAATACAACTTGCCTAATAATTGTGCACGCAGTGTATGGAGGGAGGGAGGGAAGATTTCTGATGCTCCCTGCCAGCTTCCCACAAGCAAATTCTACAGGGAAGCTAGCAGCAAGTTGTAAGTCACTCTCACTCCCACTGCTTTTTTGCCGTTGGTCATTCTGGCTCCCTGTTTAGGTAAGGAGATACCTCTAAAACAACCCAATGGGTCATGGGTTATCTAGTTTGGATTAAAACTGTCGTGTGAGCCCCAATCAACAATCTGAACTGATATTTCTGAACATGATTAGAAAAGACCGTTTGTGAACTTTATGTCCTTTAAAAGGTGACGAGCAAGATGGCTGTCCCTGTTGTTTCCCAATGCTCAAAACCCACTGGGGACCACAGTCTTGTGGGCTCCTTGCGAGGAGCAACTGTTTGGAGCATATGTGGGTGATCTCCCATCCTTTCCTTGTCCAGAGAAGTTTTGAAAAGCCAGTCTACTCACCAGCTTTTTGTTCTTCACCGTGGTAGTCAGCTCTGCTTTTTGCAGAGCTGTCTTCAGTCTATCATTTCTTCCTTCTGAGGACATCTGTATGTTAGTTATTTGGTTATTAAACTTGCAGTAAGTTTTAAATATTGAATTAACTTTCAATCACATTATGTCCCACTCTGGGCTACTGTCCCATCTGTTTTATATGTACCATGATTCTATTCAACCACATCCAGTTTAATTTTAGTGACTTTTCTACAGATACCTTGTTGCATCACCATTTTATGTGTTCCAGTCTTTATAGTTATACAATAGATAATTTTATCAAAATCTCTTGCATTGTGCAAAGCTCCCACTTTATGGAAACCCATAATGCTTTACTCTTAGTACAAATAAAAAGCTTATTTCTGGCAAATAACAGATTGTGCAGGAGATATTTTCCCAATTGATTATTACTTTGCTTTCTTTCATCTTGAATTCATTTTCTCAGAACTGTCTCATAGAGGCAGCAATCTGACTTTTCTCCATACTGTATCTTTCATTTTCTCAGAGCTGCATGGCTTTATCTAAGCTGGAAAGTAATTTGTTATGAGATGTGATAATAATTTAATACATTTGAAATTTGGTAGCAGCTGTATCGAAGCAGTTTCCAGTAGACTATTTCCCACTGACTCCATTCCCATCTCATCTCCCAAGTTATGTTTGATTCAGAAGCTAGCAAGGCTGCCCAGCACCTTTATGCAAGCTGTATTAAGCCTCCAAAACCTGAAAAGTGGGTGATGAATGTCAAGTGGAATTGACTTCCAGGAAAATCAAAATGCTACTTTAAAGTACAGCGTTTGACATCAAAACCGTAGGTACAGATTTATGCTAACCTTCAAACTCTGTACACACAAGGGAGCTGAAGGGCACAGAGGGGGACCTTCTGGGAATATTGCAACCTAATTTAGGGTGCTAGGGAATACTTCTACTAAGGCGGGTCACTTTGGAAGGGAAGACTGGCAGAAGGTCCTCCCTGGCTCCAATCTCCATAGGGTCTTTGGTTCTGAAGGCCCCTTTCACACAAGCCAGTCTAAGGACAGTAACGGGCCTTTCCACTGAAGTCAATCAGGATGCCAAATTGGCTTTTCCCCCCGCCCCCCACAGCCTCTGCAAGGCAGCCAGGTGAAGCTTCAGTGGAAGGCCGGGAGGAGGACACTGTTTTTCACGCCCAGCAGGCCGCCGGACCCCTAGCGAGGCTTCTCCCGCTCTCCCCCCCTTCCCTCCCCTCCTTCCTCGACTCGAGGCTGCCGGGTTGCAGGAAGGGAGCATGTGATCGCTCGCGGGTCTTGAATTCGCTCGCCTTGCCATGGTGTGGCAGCAGCGCGGAGCTCAACGGAGACTGCTTGAGAGACCGGACTGGGCGGCTGCTCCTCCGCTGCTTATTGGATCCATCGCAAGCAGGAACGCCCGACTGATATTCCCGTCGCCAAATCAAGGATCTCCAACAAGGTAGGACTGCGGGGCTCGGAGGTTTCCCCCCGTGCCTCCCTGTTCTTGGTGGGGATCCCCCACCCTGCCATCGCTGCCCCTTCCTTTTGGGAGCCTCGCTGGGGAACAGAAGTTTGCAAGCCCACCTTGCTGGGCGATCGCGCTCGCCTGACCTTGTCCTGCTTGCTTCTCCCGCTTTGGTCCGCCCGCTGGAGGTGGTATTTCTCCGGGCAGCCGAGGCGCGGGGTCGCGTCTTTGCCTCAGGCTTGTCAATCAGCCTAAGGGACGGATCAGCGCTCGGGAAAGACGGTCTTTCTTGGATCCTCGGAGAAAGGCGGCGGCGGCGGACGCGTCTGTGATGAAGATGGAGGTGGGGGGTGGGAAACGCTGTAGTAATACTGACAGAAGCCAGCCTTGCGGAGGCTGGCGGGGGCTCCTTCCTCTGCATGTACTGTCATGCCTTGGAGAGACCCGATGACGTCTCAGTTTTTTCCTCGATCGTTTCCCCTGTCAATTCCCCGGCTGAGCCTTTGTTGAGTCTTGCATTCATATCTCTGGCGGGGAAAAAGAAGGGATGACTTTTTCGCTTGGTCTCTAAATCCCTCCCCCTTCTCTGGAGCTGCATTGCTTTGTCTGAACCCCTCGAAAGCCATTGATCACAGGACCGCTCTGCCTCGTTTAACGAGCTGTAGAATCTGCCAGTCGTCACCCTGGAAAGACAGACGAGGCCCTTCCCAAGGGGTCCCTTTCTTTCTGCCACTCCCCCGCCCCACTTCCACAGCGGGAACTAAAGGTGACACGGCTACATGCGCGTGTGTCTGTCGCGTGTCTTCTTTTTCTTCTCAAAGAGCTGGAAAGGCTCACCTGAGGCAGCAGGGCTACTGTTTTTGCCTCAGGAGGGCCGCAGGGCAGACGGTGGCTCAGAAAAGGGGAGAAAAAAACCAGGCATCGGTGAAAGGTTTCCCTGTGCGCCCACCCGCCTCTGCTCTAGGGGTTAAAAGAAAATTGGAAACCACCACTGTCCGTGTTGAAATTTTAATATGGTTCACAATAGTGCTGCTGAAACTGAGCTGCTTAGGGAGGGGAAGATGGTAGTAGGGAGAAGGAAGTGCCCTTCACAACCAGAATAGGGAGTGAAGCCACTTGCAGCCGGGGTGGAAATGTGGCTTTTGCCTCCATCTTCCCAACTGAGATGCCTGTGTGAGGACAGAACAGAGACACAGTCAATATTTCAAAATTCCAACAAAATAATAGTCAAAGAGTAGCTAAACTGAGTTGTTAAATGAAGGAAGGCAGGAGGTAATTATCATCTCTATTTGAACCAATAAGCAAAATAAAATGTCTCTTTTTCTGTGACCTTTTATTTATATTTTACCATAATTTATATCCTGCTTTTCAAGAGGCGTATCCTTCCGTGGCAGGATACAACCTGTGTCAAACTACTGAAAAGCAGGTTGCATGAATGCAGGTGTACATATTGAATAAAATCAGCCTATGAGAAACCATGATGAACCAATCATAAAACCATAAACCATGTGCTGATTTTATTCAGCTGAAACTGGCTGTGCAGTGATCTTTGTCTGCCTTGCCCTTCCTCCTTAGGACCTATTTCAGTTGGACTGTCCACCCTACAACCCAATCCATGCTGTGCACAGGGGCAGGGGGTCAAAAGAGTCAAGATGGCAGCTACAGTTGTGTGATCCAAGTCCACACATTTTCTACATAATGCACATAAAAATGGGTGGAGCTTGGATTGTGTAGTTGCAAATGCCATCTTGACTTTTTTGATCTTCTTCCCCATGGATGCCATTGTAGGAAGGCGTTAGAAAGAAAGGAGGCCAGTTGTAATAAAAAGTGTTTCCCCCCTCCACATAGTAGGAATTATACACCTGTTGCTGAAAGTAGAAAATGTTAATAATTTTTGCCAAATATTCAGCTATTAAAAGCATGTGATCGGATTGCCTGAAATCAATACAGGATTAAGGACTGCTATATAAATTAGGTGATAAATGGCTGGAATTATCTCCCAAGTGGTGGGAGAGCCATGAAAAATTTTTTAAAAAATGACTTTGCTTCAGGATTAATTATCACTAAAAAATAGGAAAAAGTGTTAGAGAGAAATGGTGTAACTTTCAATATCTTGATCTCTATGGGCTTATGTCTGGAAGTTTCAAGCTTAGTGATTGTGCATATGTTGGTCTTTTAGGCATGTATCAAATTGTGCATGCCTGGGAATACTTTCAAATTTCCAAAGTTCAGAATTTTTCCTTGGGAATTTTTTTGAGCTCTGCAAAACTTGGTGTCCTGGAGAAATATAGCAGAACAGTGACAACCTGTAGTGGTTGGTGTTTTTTAGTTTAACCAGTTTGCCAGGTGCTTAAACTAAATGCCGTGTGTGAAGAATTGAGCACCCCCTTAGTCCCAACTCCTGAAAAAGGCATGTTAACATTTTTAAAGTTTAAAAGTCCCTGCTTGCTAAAATTCTTCATGTGGATTGTTACTCCTGTCTGTCAGCTGGTTAGTTCATGACGGTAGTACTGTAAGCTTAAGAATTCTTTCCCAGTTATTAACAGCGAATTTAGATCACTGTATGTTTACGTCCCTTGAATCTCATGTGCTGTTTAGCAGTACCTAGTCACTCAGTTTGAAGAATAAATTATTGAAGGGACATGTTTTAGTGCTCAGAATGGTGAGCACTTAAAACAGTCATTTATTGGGGAAATAAATGTGGAAAAACTAATGTAGGATGTTTGTTTCTGGCTTAGCATAATTTGGGAAGCCAGCCTCTAGGGTTTATAAAACTTGGTTTAGACTTGTGGCTTGTTTAATGAACAATGGTTAAGGATCCTGGCTTAATAATAAGGTATTTGAACCTAGCCGCTCAAGAGGAACATGAAATGTACTTAACAGGGAAAAATTAGGTTCATCTAGCATTGATGATGTCTCTGAATGAAGATTTGAGGCAAATTATTGTGCTGATTTATGAAATCAGGAGGACTATTAATCAGAGATGTCACTGTAGCTCCATATATTCACTTCAGCTCTGACAGAAAAGGGTAAGGCTGCAATGGTACAACTCATTTATGAAACAAACATGGATTAATGCATTGTGTGTACGTAGCCCATGATTAGTTTTGGATTCAGTGTGTTGTGCAAACCCAGAAGATGGACTAATTCTGTAGTCAGGTTGTGAGTTGTGTTACTAAGTGCATATTAAAACTTTCTTGAACTGAGTTTGACAGTTGGTGGCTAATTGGAGCTGTCCATGTTGGCAGCTATATGGAAATGGTTGTCATTGTCTTCTGCAATTTCACTTCCCAGTATAGACTATAGCCTTGAGGTTTTCTAGAGCCCCCCCCCCCCCCCCCCCCCATCCAAGACCCACCTGGGCATTAATCTGGCTAGCTTTTTTTTTTTTTTTTTTAGATCTGCCAGTGTCACTAGGTGCTATCACTAGCTGCAACCAAGAACTAAAAGAGGCAAAGAAGAAAGAAATAATAGTTTATTGGAATTCAGTGGCTGAGAAGAAAGACTACTAAGTATATATCTAAGACAAATGACTGGATTGATTGACTGATTAATTATGTGCCATCAAGTCGGTGTCAGCTCTTAGTGACCAGGACAATCTGTCCCTAACCTGTCCTTCAGGTCTTCTAACAATGCATCCATCGCTGCTGTAACCAAGTCCATCCACCTTGCTGCTGGTCTTCCTCTTCTCTTTCCTTCCACCTTTCCCAGAATTAGAGCCTTCTCTAGACAACTGGGTCTTCGCATAATGTGTCTGAAGTAGGATAATTTGAGCCTGGTCATTTGTGCCTCAAATGAGAACTCTGGGTTGATTTGTTGATGATCCATTTGTTTGTTTTCTTGACTGCCCATGGTATTCTCAGGAGCCTTCTCCAATGCCAAATTTCAAAATTTGTGACTGGATAGGTAACTTAAGTTAAAGAAGCATTGAGCCAAGTTGGAAGGAGATTCCAGCTCCAAAAGAGAAAGTAAGGAAGTAGCTAAAGAAGATTAGAAGAAAATATACGAATTAGAAGGAGATCATTTGAAACTACTTCTACAAGGCTCAAAGCTCAACTTATTTATACTATAATTGATTTGTTTTGACTAGCAATAACAGAAATATCAACATTTTGGCCTTCCAGATGTTACTGAACTAAGCCCCTCAACCTTAGCATTGGTCATGCTGTTGGAGGTGCTAGAAATTGTAGTTCAGCAAGATGTGGAGAGCTACAGACCTCACCCTTCGTTAAAAAAAACTTAATTAACCATACTTTCAGTCTATTATTATATGTTTGTCATTCATAAATTAGTATTGATAAAGATTAATGTCCTAAGATGGGTGAATAAATAAAATAATATGAACCAAGTTACATGGAAAATAACAATGAAAATTCATGGACATCTGAGTTAGCCACAACGATGCTAAAATAATGAAGCATGCATTGTAAAGTTACAATATAAGCACTGCCATTTTGTACTTATATTATGATGTTATATTTAAGTATGTAAGAGGTATGTATCATGATGACAGGACAGATGTTTCATAACTTGCCCCTTTGTTTCCCTCCTTCTGATGGTAATTTTATAGGGTTGAATTTGGGAGTGGATGGGGGGGGGGACAAATTACCAAACATGCATGACCATG